ATGACAGGCATGAGCCACCAGCGCCCAGCTTCCTTTTCTTTCTTTTGTATGCTAGTCCTGAGGTTTGAACTCAGGGCCTGTGCACTGTTCCTGAGCCTTTTCACTCCAGATGAGTGCTCTCCCACTTGAACTACAGCTCTACTTCCAGCTTTTTGGTGAGCCGAGCGCTGGTGGCTCACACCTGTAATCCTAGCTACTACTGAGACTGAGATCTGAGGATTTCAATTCAAAGCCAGCCCAGGCAGGAAAGTCCATGAGACTCTAATCTCCAATAAACCACCAGAAAACTGGAAGTGGCGCTGTGGCTCAAGTGGTAGACCACTCATGATGAGCTAAAGAGCTCAGGGACAGAGCCCAGGCCCAGAGTTCAAGCCCCACGACCTGGGAGCAGGGGGGGGGAGAGTGTCACAGACTTTTCTACCCAGACTTACTTCCAGCTCTGATCCTTATATCTCAGTCATCTGAGTAGTGGGATTACAGGTGTGAGCCACTGGTGCTTGGCAGGAAAGCACTGTTAAATCCAACTTCATACTTGGATCTGAATCCTTCCATGCAAGGCCATCTTGGACAGACAGAGAAGTTTCCCTGGGGTCCACTAAGGGGTTGTGAGGACTAAAGTTTAATGTTAACCTGGGCAGACAAATCCAAGAGACTCTTATTTTTAATTTACCAGAAAGCTGGAAGTAGAGTTGTAGCATAAGTGGTAGAGTACCATTCTTGAGTAAAAAAGCTAAGGACAGGCCCAAGGCCCTGAGTTCCAGCCTCTGTACTAGCCACATGCACATGGACACATGGACACACACACACACACACACACACACACACACACACACAGAGCAAGATGATGGAATTTTCCAAAAGGTGATGCAGTTTTCTGCTGTTTCCGGGAGTAACAGCTCTCAGCTGGCCACACTGGAGGCAGATGTAGGTGAGGCGTTGCCTCTGGCTTTGCAACCAACACTTCCTCCAACTCTGGGTGAAACTAGGAACTGCAACAGGCAGAAGGAAGGTGATACGGTTTGTAAAGGATCCTTATATCTCAGCATAGTCCACAGACCCACGGCGGCAGTCCTGGGGGTTAGTATCACTGGAAATCTTTCCTTTTTTTTCCATGTCCTAGGGCACTCTCCCTGTGCTCCTTTCTGCTTCAAGGCTAGTGCTCTACCTCTTGAGCCCCAGTGCCACTTCTGGCTTTTTAAGAGTCTCCCAGTGGGGGCCTGTAATCCCAGCTAGTCAGGAAGCTTAGATCTGGGGATTGTGGTTCAAAGCCAGTCCTGGCAGGAAAGTCCATGAGACTTTTTTTTTTTGGGTCCGGTCATGGGGCCTGAACTCTGGGCCTGGGCGCTGTCCCTCAGCTCTTCAGCTCAAGGCTAGTGCTCTACCACTTGAACCACAGCACCACTTCCAGCTTTTTTCTTTTTGCTTATGTGGTGCTGAGGAATCGAACCCAGGGCCTTGAGCATGCAAGGCAAGCGCTCTACCACTGAGCCACCTTCCTAGCCCTCCATGAGACTCTTGTCTTCAGAGAAAGCCAGAAGTGGTGCTGTGGCTCAAGTGATAGACCGCTAGTTGAGCAAAAAGAGACAGAGCCTAAGCCCTGAGTTCAAGCCCCAAGACGGACAAACACAAAAAAGAGTCTCACAGACTTTCCTGCCTAGGCTGGCTTCGAATTGTGATCCTCAGATACCAGCCTCTTGTCTTGTGTAGCTAGGGTTACAGCCATCAGCACCTGGTTGGAAATCTCTGTGTGTGTGTGTGTGTGTGTGTGTGTGTGTGTGTGTGTGTGTGTGTGTGTGTATTGGAGCTCAAACACACCAAGCCTCATAATCTCACTTAGCTTTTTTGCTCTACCACTTGAGCCATGCTTTCAGTTCTGTCCTTTTTGTTAGTTAACTGGGTGTGGGAGTCTTATGGATTTGTCTGCCAGAGCTGGCTTCTAATCCCCTAATCTCAACCTCCCAAGCATCTGGGATTACAAGCATGAGCCACCAGTACCTGGCACATTGGAAATCTCTTAATTCTATCATTTTAAACAACTGAAAGGGAATCAACATATATTTATTTATTCATTATTATGCCCATACAGGAGTTTGAACTCAGGACCTTGAGCTTGCCCAGCTGGAGCTCTACTACTTGAGCCATACTTCCAGTCTACCTTTTTGCTGGTTATTTTGGAAAGGAAGATTGGTGAACTTTGTTTTTTGGTTTTTGTTTTGTTTTTGGCCTGGCCTAGCTTGAACATTGATCCTCTAAATTTCAGTCTTCTATCATTAGGATTACCAGTTGGAAACATGTTTTAATCACCAGCTGGGTATTTGGCCCTGCCTTCATTTATTGAAGGTAAAACTCCTGGGGCTGGGTGTATTCAGATAGTAAAATGCTTGCCTAGTGTGAGCAAGGTCCTAGTTCCATCCCCAGCACTGAAAACCAAACCAAACCAAACCACCTCTCTTCCAAGCTCCTGAATTTTCAAAATGACTTCCTGAAGTAAGTACCTGCACAATCCTTGCTAGATAGATGAGAAGAGGATCCAGAGCAGAGCCCTATATCACACACTGTCCAAGCTCAGCCATAATTGAAAAGCCATTCTGTGAGCATCCAAAGTCCATGGCTCCCTCCGGGGCCGCGCCCCCTCCCCCCCCCCCCCCCCTTAGCCCAGAGGGAGGCTGTCTGGTGTAATGACTAACTGGTTAATTCTGCACACTCTGCACTTAGGGAAGCCACTGATCCTGGTACTTTTACTTCTCCAAGCCTCTGTCTCTGCTTCTTGGAAATCTCTGGGATTGATTTCTATGCCTGGCTATAGAGTTGTTGGGGGAATTTCAGATGAGTTTATGGCATAAGGCACTCAAATCATGCCTGATTTCCTAGGAGGAAATCAGCTTACTCAAGGGTTCCCAGCTCCATCTTCAAGCACTTTATTTATCTTCATTTCCCCCAAACCCCTCACACTCCCCATTGTAAACAATGCCCTTGTTTAAGTAAAGTTAGGAATATTGGAATAGCAAGTCATTTTTCTTGCCTTTCCTTTTTTTTTTTTGTCGGTCGTGGGGCTTGAACTCTGGGCCTGGGCACTGTCCCTCAGCTCTTCAGCTTAAGGCTAGTGCTCTACCACTTGAGCCACAGCACCACTTCTGGTTTTCTGGTGGTTTATTGGAGATAAAGAGTCTCATGGGCTTTTCTGCCCAGGCTTGCTTTGAACCTCAATCCTCAGATCTCAGCCTCCTGAGTAGCTAGGATTACAGGTGTGAGCCACCAGCGCCCTGCTTCATTTCCCCATTTCACTGAGAAACTGAGAGATAGCAGAGCCCACATTTGTAATCCTAGCTTCTCAGGAGGCTGCGATCTGATGATGAAAGTTTGAAGCCAGCCCCTAGAGGACAGTCCATGAAACTTTACCTCCAATTAACCACCAAAAAAGCCAGAAGTAGACCTGTGTGGCTCAAGAGAGCCAGCCTTGAGTGAAAAAGCTAAAGCACAGCTGGGTGCCGGTGGCTCACACCTGTAATCCTAGCTACTCAGGAGGCTGAGATCTGAGGATCATGATTCAAAGCCAGCCCAGGCAGGAAAGACTGTGAGACTCTTATCTCCAATAAAACCACTAGAAAACCAGAAGTGGTGCTGTGGCTCAAGAGGTAGAGCACTTGCCTTGAGCTGAAGAGCGCAGGGACAGCGCCCAGGCCCAGAGTTCAAGCCCCATGACCACCCCCCCAAAAAAGCTAAAGCACAGTGCCCAGGACCTGAGGTCAAGACCCACAAGAAAGGGAGGGGGGTGGGAGAAGAAAAGAAAAATAAAGAAAAGGAAAAAGAAACATTTTAGAGTGGAAGTAATTTGCCATGAAAGCTGTCTTGGTTCAGTTAGACCTTAATGCATACATATACAAAATACATTTATTCTTTTCCCCCTTTCTTTTCTTTTTTTCTTTTTAATGCTGGGATTGAACCCAAGGCCTTGTGTATGCCAAACTAGCTCCCTCCCACTTTACTACATCCCCAGGCCTGAGGAATCTGAAGCTGTGAATTGCACAGATTATCTGCCTTTAGGGCTGGCTTCTCAGTCTCCACCAGGGCCATTTCCCCCAAATCCTGGCATTTCAGAGTTTGGTATTTTGGAAAAGATACTATAAACTTAGTACCTTGAGGCCCAGGTGACACTGTCTGACAGGGGTCGAATCCTATCCTGTACAGTGATTTATTAAGGAACTTCAGAATCTCCATTTGGCCCAAGCCCAGGGCAGCTGCCCCTTAACCGGAGCTGGGACCACTACATACAGTAGGCCAGAGGTCTGGAGTGCCAATGGCCCCCCACCCTGGGTGCGGGGGCGGGGTGTGTGTGGGGGGGTGTAGAAGCGTGGGGCGGAAGCAGGGGCGGGGCTTCGCCAATCGGGGCGGGGACTCGCGAGTGCGGGGCGGAGCTTTCATTTGAAGGCTTTGACAGACAATAGGCGGGGCCTGGGATGCAGCAAATCAGATCGTGGGTCCCTGGGCGGGACTTCTGGAAATCGGAACTAGGATTTTGTTTGTTTGTTTGTTTTCTGGAGCTGGTGGGCCCGTCCAGAAGCCTGGAGGCTGGTTTAAGAGCTTGGCTGGGCCAGTGGGCAGGGCTCAAGGAAGCTGAAGTGACCAACTTTAAAAAAGGGCTCTGGGGAAATCTCTGAGGAGCCTAGCAGGCCGGTGGGCGGAGCTCTAAGAACCCCGCCCCAGGTTCTAAGGAGCAGTGGGCGTGGCTCTGGGCGCCTGTGGGCGTGGCTGTCAGACAGTGAAGTGACTGGAGAGCGGGGCGTGTGCTGGGGGCACCGCCCTCCTCTGCAGCCCCCTGCATCCATCACGGTGACCAGAGAGGGCGCTAGAGAGGACGGAGGTGTGGAGCGTAGAGTGGAAGCGGGCTTCCCCGCCCGGAAGTGGGCGTGGCACGCCGCGAGTCGGCGGCCTGTGGTTGGGTGCGGCGCGGCGCGGGGGCGGGGCTCGCGCACGGCGGCCGGGGCGGTGGCGGCTGTCCGCGCCCCTCCCCCGCGCCGCGCTCAGTGCCAGGCGGGAGGCGGCAGCGGTTGGAGGGTTTGCCGGGCTTTGCAGCTGGGACTTCGGCGGCGCCTCAGGCACCTCGGCCTGGTGAGGGGCGCGCGCTCGGCGGGGTTGCTCGGGAGCCGGGCGGGCGGAGAGGGCGGGCGGACCTGGTCCCTCAGCATGTGCCGGCGCCGGCTGACAGGAGCCGGCGGGGCGCGGGGCCGTGCGCGGCGGAGGGCGGAGGGCTGGGGCGCGCGCGCGCGGGGCGCCGATCCCGGGGGTGCGCTGCTGGAAGCTGGAGCCTGGGGGCCTTGGGGGCCACCCGTGTGTCCTGGGGAGCGCGAGGCGGGGTCCCCCGTGGGGAGGAGGGTGCCCTGGGGAGGACGTGGTGCGGGGGGGGTGGGAAGTGGTGGTGGTGGTGGTCCGCAGTCCTCGCTGCGGGATAGGGGAGCGGAAGGCAGCTCCAGGGAAGTCCTCCGGGGTCCGGGACCGGCCGCCGGGTTGGGTGAGGTCCTGGGTGGAGAGGGGCGGCTGCGAGGTTAGGGCGCGGAGCCCCGGGGGCGCCGGGCCTGGGGGCGGGGCTTGAGCCGCCCCGGGGAGCGGGAGAGGCCGCCGGGGCGGCTCACGTGGGGCCGGGGGGCGAGCTGGGCCCGGCCGGGGCGCGCGTCCCCTCCGGAGCCCCGGCGAGCGGGGTCGAGGGCCCCGGCAGGGCAGGGCACCGGGCCGGGCAGGCGGGGCGGGGCTCGCTTGGAGTAATTTGGGTGGGGGAGGCGAGGGAAGAGGGAGCCGGGAGGCTTGGAAGAGGAAGAACCCGGCTGCAGGCTCGCTGCAGAGCTGGGGCTGGGGGGTGGGGGGGGGGCGCTGGGGGCGTTCTGAGCGAACCGGGTGATTCAGAGACCTGCTTCCCCCCCATAGCCGGGCAGCTGGCTAGGGTCGCAGGAAAAAGGAGCGCGGTGCAGGTGGGGTTGGGCTGGAGATCTGCTGTGGAGAGGGTGGAGATGCAGGAAGCCAGGTCTCCCGCCTGTCCCCGACAGGGCTCGCGCACCGAGCTCTCCAATAATTGCCGTGTGTTGGGGGGAAGTGGCCGGCTGCGGGGGAGAGCCGAGAAGAAAGGGGCTTCCTCTTGGGAGGGAGGTGCTGGCCCTGCCGGCCTTTTTTGGGAGTGTTCAAAGGGTTTTGATTGCTGGAAAAGGAAATGTAAGCTTTACTGCCTCGTGGTTTAGTATCACATCCTATATTTGGCCTTAATGTAGGCTGTCCTTGTTTTGTGGTGTCTGAAGTGCTTGCTCTACACGTTGCAAATGTGGGTTTCTGAGTGAGAAGAAAATCACAAGTTGTTCATCTCTCCCAGGAGAGCAGCATGTAAAGGCTTTTCCCTTCCTATGCCATATTATAAAGGCTGGAATGTAGTATGCCTTTTATACGCTGGTGCTGGATGGTGAATGTATTTGCTTCTGGAAAATAGTTGTCACAAAATATTAGGCCCTCTGCCACAACCTTCCTACCTGGATTACATTGTAGAACAGTATTTATAGGGCTTCTCGTCACTCTGTAATAATGCAGCTCATTGTCCTTGTCTGGCAGAACTCTCTCCTGACATCAGGGCCTGCAAGAATAGACAGAAAAGTGATTTAAGTGTAAGCATTTCCTTTTTCTATAGTCTGGTTCAATGGTGAAGGCATGTAGGTATCTGTTTAATATTAATTCACTTTTGTATTTCCTCTTAAAACTGAAAAAAATGGGCAAAACCTACATGACCAGAAGAATTACTAGAAATAACACAGGTGCCTGTAGTTCGCGCCTATAATCCTAGCTACTCAAGAGGTTGAGATCAGAAGATCAATGTTTGAAGCCAACACAGGCAGACAAATCCAAGAGATTTATCCAGTTAACCAATAAACAGCTGGAACTGGAGAGAAGAGAGCCAGCCCAGGGTTGGGGAAACTGAGCTCCAGGCCCTTAGTTCAAGCTCCAGTACTGGTAACCCCTCCTCCCCCACAAAAAAGGAAAAAGAAGCATTTGTTTTTTTTTTTTTTACTGGGGAGGTATGTTTCCTACTCATAATGTTTGAGTAGGAGGCTTGATACTAAACATTGGGTCTGAGTGATTGCATAACTTAGTAGGAAAAAACTGAACTTTAAAGCAGAATTGTGTTGTATGGTAGGTCTGGAAGTCAGTGTCTTGTATGGATGGTGATGTGTGTACTGAGGATTAAGCAGAATTGGTGTAAAGGTCAAGTACACATCTTTTAGACAAATCTGAAGCTTGCATGATATATGTGTCTGTGTTTTGATTACTTGTGGATGGCATACTAAAACCTGAAATACATACACATGTATATGTATATCATATATATCATATATATGCTGGTCATGGGGTTGAACTCAGGGCCTGGACACTGTCCCTCAGCTTCTTTTGCTCAAGGCTAGCACTCTACCACTTGAGCCACAGTGCCACTTGTGGCTTTTTCTGGGTAGGTGAGTACTGGGGAATCGAACTCAGGGCTTCATGCATGCTAGGCAAGTACTCTACCACTAAGCCACATTCCCAGCCTATCCTTGAGCTTTTTAAAAGTTAGTACTCTACCACTGGAGCCACAGTTCCACTTTCAGCTTTTTGAGTGGATAATTGGAGATTAGAGTCTCATAGACATCTGACCAGGCTAACTTTAAAACCACAATCCTTAGAGCTCAGCCTCCTGAGTAGCTAGTTACAGGTGTGAGTTAAAGCCTAATACATTTAAATAGACAAATGCCAATCGAGTATTTCTCTATACAATATTGGATTTTCAGAGTTATTTGTTACTTTTGCCTGAAGATTGTGCAAATCAGTATTTATGTTCATTTATGTATATGGACAAGATTAGATTCAGGATGGGGGAAATAGTGTTTTTACACTTTTTTTTTTGGTTGTTGTTGTTTTTTATGGTAAGCCTGGGGCTTGGACTTAGGGAGGGCCAAGGCGCTTTCACGCTCCAGGCTAGCACTCTACTACTGGAGTCACGCCTCTGCTTCCAGCTTTTTGGTGGTTAGTTGGAAATAAGAGTTTCACCGACTTTCCTGCCTGGGCTGTCTTGGAACAACAGTCCTCTGATCTCAGCCTCCTGAGCTTACAGGTGAGAGCAGCCAGCACCCAGACACCCTTGGATTTTTTTTTTTTTTTGTCGGTCGTGGGGCTTGAACTCTGGGCCTGGGCGCTGTCCCTCAGCTCTTCAGCTCAAGGCGAGCGCTCTACCACTTGAGCTACAGCGCCACTTCCGGTTTTCTGGTGGTTTATTGGAGATAAGAGTCTCACGGTCTCTCCTGCCCGGGCTGGCTTTGAACCGCGATCCTCAGATCTCAGCCTCCTGAGTAGCTAGGATTACAGGCGTGAGCCACCAGTGCCCGGCTACACCCTTGGATTTTTTAATGTAAGTTTTATGTTTAACATATGTAATTTCTGGAATCCAGACTAGCCATGGGAAAAGTCAGATTAGTGTCTGTGAGATAGTGTTCAAAATGATATATGATCAGTTCTTAGTTATATTAAATAGGAATGTATAAGGTTCAATTTGTCATCATATTCATTTCTTAATATTTTGATTGGTCACAAAATGGTGGTTTAGACACAGATACGATTGCTGGGTGTGGTAGCACTTGCCTGTAATCTCAGCACACTGGAAGCAGAGGCAGAAAGATGTCAAGCCAGAAAGACTGTCTCAAAAACAAAAGAAATGCCAGGTGCCGGTGGCTCATATCTGTAATCCTAGCTACTTAGGAGGCTGAGATCTGAGGATTGAGGTTCAAAGCTAGCTCCGGCAGGAACGTTCGAGAGACTCTTATCTCCAATAAACCACCAGAAAACCAGAAGTGGCACTGTGGCTCAAAGTGGTAGAGCACTAGCCTTGAGCTGAAGAGCTGAGAGACAGCGTACAGGCCATAGTGCCACTTCTAGCTTTTTTCTTTTTGTTTATGTGGTGCTGAGGAATCAACCCAGGGCCTCATGCATGCAAGGCAAGCACTCTACCACTGAGCCACCTTCCCAGCCCATGGACTGTTTTATTTTTAACATCATTCAAAGGAGGAACAGAATAAAATTGGAGAGCTACTTTTATGTTTAAGATATAAACCCATGTAGCAAAATCTCTAGCTTGTTTTCCAGTGATGCTGTCCCTATTTTAGCCTATCTCCGAGTTACAAAAACTTATCTGGCACTTTTGCGTTTGTCTTTTTAAACGGAAGCTGGCTTTTCTGTATTAAAACACAGAATTCCGAATTCTTCATGAATATTTCAGCATGACCTAGTACCTAGAATGCTAAGTAATAGAATCTCTCTGGGTTTCATTGCCCTAGTTGAGTTCCTTTAAAACGAGTGAACAAGATTCTATCCACTTTGTATTATGATGGTGCATAATGGAATCTTTTTTTGTTATGATAGCTTTATTAAATTAAGTATCATTTTCTTGGATATATTAGGGTTTGAACTCAGAGTCTTTTGCTTGCTAGGAAGGCACTCTATTATTTGTCCCCTCCCCCCCAGGCGCTCTTTTTTTTTTTTGCCAGTCCTGGGGCTTGAACTCAGGGCCTGGGCACTGTCCCTGAGCCTCTTTTGCTCAAGGCTAACACTCTACCACTTGAGCCACAGTACCACTTCCAACCTTTTCTTTTTCTTTTTTTTTGCCAGTCATGGGGCCTGAGCTCTGGGCCTGGGCGCTGTCCCTCAGCTCTTCAGCTCAAGGCTAGCACTCTACCACTTGAGCTGCAGTGCCATTTCTGCTTTTTTCTGTTTATGTGGTGCTGAGGAATCGAACCCAGGGCCTCATGCATGCAAGGCAAGCACTCTACCACTGAGCCACCTTCCCAGCCCACTTCCAACTTTTTCTGTGTATGTGATACTGATGAATGGAACCCAGGCCTTCATCTATGCTAGACAAGCACTCCACCACTAAGCCACCTTCCCAGATACTCCCTTCCCCTCCCCCCCCAAAAAAAAGTCCTTTTTACTTTAGTTGTTTTTTAGATAAGTTGTTTTGCCTGGACTGGCCTGGACCATACTTCTATTGTATTTCCTATGTAGCTGGGATGACAGTTGTACACCATCAAGCCCAGCTTTTTATTGGTTGAGTT